AACCTTTAGATGAATGGTTGAGATGTCACCTCACTACAAAGGAACAAACTTTGGACTCGCTGGAAACTTAGCTACAGTCTCCAGCAAGTTCCAGTACCGTTTTCATGCAACAAAGAAACAAACGAACTGATGCAGTGAGCAATTAGAACAAGCAAGAAAGAGGTCTAACAGGGTGGTGCATGTCTAAATACCAGCTTTGAAAATGCAATATCTCCAAAAAATTAGCACTCATAGATCTACCACTAGCATTTTTAGCGAGAGAAACTTTGAGTTGTTAAATTCATTCAGATATATTGATAACATCAATTAGCTTTTGCAGTTCTACCACTAGCATTTTTAGCGAGAGAAACTTTGAGTTGTTAAATTCATTCAGATATATTGATAACATCAATTAGCTTTTGCAGTTTAAAAAGAATATTATGCCAGAGAAGAAACGAAAGTGAGAGAAGGAGCCCACGCACAAAAACAACCTTTGATATGAGCCTATAAATAACAAGACTGTTTGGAAAAGATGCAAGGTTTAACCTAGATCATGGGTTTGTCATCATACGCTAGTTTCAAATACGTAAAACAAATTAAACTTCTGGACTCAAAAGACAAATCTAACTAATTCAATCTAATAAAAAAAAATTAAACAGTAAAGTTGCACTGCATACTAATATCACCTAACAAATAGCACCTAACAAAGGGCAACAAGCAATAGTTTCTTATTTAAGGCAAATGAATTGGCTTTTTATAGCCTACGAAGGATATGGACTTCAGTACAATTATTAATAAGAAAATAAAAAACAAATGCATTCAGCATACCATCACATCACACCGCTCTGGCTTTGATACAAGCTGCATGCAACAGTTGTCCACTATGACCTCATTGAACTCTATGATAATCAGCTGTCATTTCGAGTCATGATTGCAAAAATAAACCATCTGCTACTATCATAATATTGGCTTTGTGTACAGAAGTGAGCAGTGACTTTCATTTTATCTCTTTTAGGGTTCTAACTTATGCCATGTAAGAATGATTCAAAGAGAGTTTCTTATTGCTTTGTACATTTCCTTTGTTCTCAACTTCTCCATTTATTAGGCATTTTCTTCCACAGTTTTGTTTAATAACTTAGATTTCCATTATGAACCCTTATGACCTCATTACTTACAAAATTCAAGCCCTAGAGCTAATTTGGCAGACAAGGAAATGCAAAAGTAGAAAATAGAATTAATTACTGAATGTCATTCTTGCAATATTCATGGCATGTTTCAATAACATTCACTGTATAGAAATGATATCTAAAAAATGATAAAAGAGAATTTTTCTTGTTAAATTAATTCTTGATGCAAACCCACTATGCTTGCGAACTAGACAGGAATGTATCAAATTAAAGGAAGCAACAATATTCAAATATGTGTCTTCATTTGTACAAATCATTTAGTCCTTTTCAAATTTCAATGGCCAACTCCTCAGCCTTACCTGAAAACCTCGGGATTTAGCCCCAAGAAACCCGGAACAACAGCCTGCACCACAAAGGCAACGAACTTTAGCACCACCATACCATTCAAAATTGTAATCATAGGCTAGTTCCGTTCCAGAAGGAATGTCTTGCTTTGCAAATATTCCCACTCTTACTTCGCCAAGCACATTCCACTTTCTTGTCTCGCAGTTTGGTTGACTGCATCTTCCAGTGAATTATATCAGGTGTCAAGGAAGTAGACAACAGTAACAGGAACAAGCATTGTATAAAAGAACATATAGCACAAAACACTTGGGAGAACTTCAAATATGATGCATAAAATACAAGCTTACCATGAATGGTTAATGAACCTTGCCAAACTTCCTTTTCTAGTAGCATCTATTGATTCTTGCCCGTTAAGGGAAATGATAAATGCATCTTTCAGACCTGCAAAGCACAAACTTTTGCACAATCATTATCATGAAATGCAGGAAATGAATTAACCAACTTTTTTTTTAAAACTCGCCTTCAGCTTCGTAAGCTTGTGACCTACGCCTTGCTTCCTTTGATGATATTACTTCTCCACAATATTCAATAACAAAGTGCCCAGCCTGGTCGCATATAAACATGGGTCAGAAAATTGTAACCAAGCACAATGCGTTATGAAATGAAAATAGCTGTAATCAGCTGCTTGTAACAGGTACATAAAGATAGGTTTCACTACTGAGTGCTCACAAAGCACAGCACCTTAATATTCTCATCAGCAAGAAGACCCCATCCTCTGCCTTCAGTTTTAAATAACCGTGACCTGGCATATTCACATTTCTGAAATCTCTGCAAACAAAAATAGCATACCAGAGAGAACATTTAACAAGAAATTGCTAGAAGAAAAATTATACTAAAACCAGAGTCCTGGGTTTATAGATCAGCATAGCACGGATCGTGATGCAAGGAAGCCATTCTTCTGGTTGGTAATAAAGGGCACTTAATACTATAGCAAAACCATACGCAACCAGCTGAAACCTTAAAACGGTGTAATAAGGATTTTTGTTGAATTCGCATCTGAAGCATGACAACAAATCAATGGCTTGTTTTAAGAAGAAAAGCCCAATAAATTGAGATCATTAACCAAAGTAATAACAAGCAAACAAGTTTTTTTTAATAAGTTTAAGGTCATATTTTTCGACTTAATAAGTTGATTACAACATTTTAAGAAAGAGTGAACCCTTTTGCTTACAGTATTGTTTTTGTTCATCTAAATGTAACACAGAATATTAATATACAAATCAGCCTAGTTTAAATTTTAATTTTTTTTAAGTTATGTTGTAGGAATGTGTGCCAGTCTCTGGTCTATGTTGTGCCCTGGCAATAAATGCAACTACGCATAGGAAACCTACTTGTCTTCATCCTTCACCTCTGTTGCATTTGGTGGAGCTTTACTTGCAGCCTTCCTGATTGTGATTACATAAACGTGTCAATTTTACTGGAAATGCTGGAAGAAGATTCCTGGTGTTTTATTTGGTCATTACCTACTCTCTTTACTAGTCCCTTTAAGTACATACAAACCTGGAAAAAGATAGGAGAATGCATTTTAAGCCATTTTGATAGACCGGTCATATTCTAACAGCATACTAAAGAATAATATTGCAGTAATACAGAAAACGACGACTTCTCACAAGGCCATGCAAAAGATGTGTTAGTCATACACCCAGCTCGATTAGTTGACATCAACCTACGGGCAGCAAGTAAAAACAGTTTGAATGAGATGCAAATAATACAGAACAGTCACCAAGCCTCAGATTGCCCACAAAATAATTAAACCCTGATGTGTAAGCAGATGGTAAAACCGACAACTCTGTGGGGACAGTACTCTAGAAATATTTTTGTTGCAAATTACACAGGGTAACCACCTGAAAGAACATCAAGGAGAGCCTAGAATGAAATACAATGATCAAGCTCCCTGTAGCCAGTAGGAAACCAAGCGGCACCTTAATAAAATTCAATCAAGTCCTTTTACCATATTAATTTGAAGAAACGTTTCAATGGGAGAGAAGCAACAGGAATCTATAAGCTGCTTGATTACATCCCAGGATATGCCGCAAGCATTACTCAGTCATACACCCAGCATAGGTCCCCCGTAGAAGCCTAAGGAGCCTAGCCCCAGTAAACAAGGATTTTGAGTATTATAGCCCCAACTAAGACACATATTGATAGAAGAATAAAGAAGTCACTTAAGCATGCCACAATGACACTTATTTTTAAGTTTCCAACTTAAGATTAGTTACAAATTTATATCTTGGCTCAGCATTTCTTCCTTTTTCCACACATTCTCTCCATGACTTTAAGCAGGTTCACCTACATCATTGAATTCAAAGATGGAGAAATGGCAGCTAACCTGATTCCTACAATAATCGCCACAGGGACAATACCCAGGTGTGCACTCTGTACTTGTTAGGACATTTAAACACCGTTCTCCACATGCACTATCTGGATCATTAGGATCAAAACGGCACACACAAACAGCTATATCTTCGTCTTTCTGCTTTGTATGCCTACAAACATTTGAACAAAGATGAACAGACATAAAAAGACATGAAATCAAATATTATTCATTAACGCCTACCGTCACTACAGAGGTTAAATACAATGGCGATCATCAGAAAAACTCTCGACTAGTAAAAGATTGAAAACCCATAGTTATTGATTCAAAGACTATATATCATGTACAGTTTGATTGGCAGAAGTGAAACAACTTGGTACAAATTAAGGGAACTAATAGGCACAGGTAGAATGAAGTTTGACGTTTAATGAGGAAATTCATCAGTTCAACTCATCCATGACATATTCAAGATTCAAACAGAATGAAATGCAATATAATTTATTATCTAGAACCATGAAAATCCTGATTTAACTTAAAACATTAGGAATATCAGGTCTTCCTGTAAAGTTTAAATGAATCTTATGCATTTGTATCAGGCTGTCAGTTTTATTTGGTTAAATGGGATCCTAGTTTTTGTATAGAAGTATTCGGATTCAGTCCTTGATTATTATACAACCGAAAAATGCCTGGTCTAGTGATGAGAAGTTTTAAGCTCACAATAGCAGTCATGCTTTGAAGTATAATAACCTTCCTGTAATGTCCACTTATAACAGGAGATTATTTGAAGGATTAACACCATAGATTCAACCATAAAATTTGCCAACAAATTATTGTATGCAATCAGGTAGGAGCAAATAAAAGCAGAGAAGCACATAACAATGTTAAGTTCTTGGACTTTTCTTCTTGTGTATTATAAATTACACTTTGATCTATATGTTAACAAACAGAATGTGAAAACATTGTGGAAAAGCTAAGGTTTTATTTGTTATCTACCAGTTCAAAGAAAAAAAACTGACCAAAAAAAAGGTCAATACAGAAATATCCAGACTTAGAAACAACTTACTTTCTATAGGAAAACTCATTTCTCACGATATGTTTATATGGTGGCAGCCCTTCACTTTGTTCCCCCTATAAGTCACCAGCAGCGTTAAAAATTTTGACAGCATAAAATTATAGATGAAGAGAAAAGAAAAAGAATAATGAGAAATTTAAAAACCAGCTGACAAGATAAGAATGCGTTGAAAATATAATACTTACCATGAATTTAAACAACCACCACCTAACATATATCAAATAGAGGGAACATCTTGGAGATTATGAAATGTAGTGTGACAATGAGTAAAACTAACTAAAGCAACATTTACCAAATTTGCAGAACAAATAAAACTGTGTTACTGAGTTAATCATGGAATCCAACTGTCACCTTTTACCAGTGTGATAATCAGAAAAAATTCAAATCTACAGGAACATAGTCCCACATCCAGAGATTCACTCAATAACCCACCAAGAACTGTCATGTTTTGTACAAATAAGAAATTAAGCATAGGATTATGTTGTGTTTTTGTAACTTCGAAAGTAGTGTTCCTCAATACACCCCTGGCAGAAAACTAGGTGCTACACCAATTCAAGTCTAGCAGTTTATGAAATTGGGTTGTTATGGATCACAGGGAAGTTCTAGAAAAAAGTTAAATAGGCAAGAAACTTATGAATTATTGATAGATAAAATAAATGAAAAGAAAAGAAAGCAACATTACATTCTCCCGATGTTATTTGCACACGGGATACAAGTGTAAACTGTCAAGTGCCCTGAGATGTCTAACACTGCAACTTTTAAACATGAGGAAATAAGGACATGATATGTGTGCATATGTGGCATGTGGATGTGTGTGCAAATTATTGATCTATACTTAACAATCTCTATTTAGCAACTAGTTGAAAAGACATGTCTGGATTCAGAAGACCATGGAAATACTTCTTTTTTTTTTGCCTTATGTAGATTCATTTTAGACATTGTTCCTAAGGGTTTTATGCTGCTTAACAACAAAAGTATTCAATATTCCATTTACTTAAGTACATAAGGCACAGGTGTCCATGTATCAAGCCATAGCCAGGTGTCATGGAGTATAATGATAAAGTTGTGGTTCTTCTTCCAATAGCATATTTAGCGACTACAGTTATCCAAGTATAGTCTTTCCATACACCTTAAACAAGATGGAAAAGAAACCTCGTGACTTTATTCTTGGTGGGATTATATTAGCACATCAAATGTCTCTCTTTTTTACCTATACCATGTCAGACGCTTGAATGCCAATTTACATTGACTTCCAATACAAGATCACACATATAAATGTGTTTTACTTAAAGTTTAGTTACCATACACTAATTGAGGGATTCATGTACAACAAACATGAGTGTTGCAAGTAATATTTCTATTGTTACTTATTAAAGATCTAAAAATATACAAACGCACGCACACAAATGCATGATGGGTCTTATGTGTATTCTATGTAAGTATACCTACACATCTATGTATGTTATGAATTCATGTACATATTTATATGAGTGTGCATATGTGTGAAATGTTGTATACTTGTGTGCCGAAAGGCGAACTCTTTTCATACTACTATCTGGTTCATAGTTCACCCTTCAATTTGTGTTGCTAATTTAGCTAACACTTCCAAAGTGCTCATTGCATTATTGACTTATAGACTCACCAACATTCAGATCTCTCGAGTCTAGTTGTCCAGAATCATGATCTTATGATAAAAACGAGGCGGCTGCCTAGACAACAAGGATACAGAGACTAGAATTCTTCTATATCCAAAAATCAATATCGATGTTTCTGTATTAAACTTCTTCTCTTGAAATCACGTCCCAAAGTTCAAAAAAAGTTATGTGTTGTTCTTTACTGAGAATGTCAGTAATGAGAACTGTAATTACCATCTGTAGTCAACCTAGGAGGACTCACCCCTAAAGGCTGGTCGTTAGAGGAAGGGTAACTCAAATCATTTATAAACTCAAAAGTGACTTCTCACTTAGTTTGGGCATAAATGAAAACCAATGTACCACAGCATTTCTTATCCTGGCACTAATGCGAATCGGCGTCGCACTAGTCTGGTTCGATCGAACACTGCTATTATGGCATTACCCCTTCAACCTCGCACACTAGACTAGTCCCAGACGAACACTGCAACACTACATGACCAACCCTCCACTCGATTGAAATTACAACGATGGGGTTGATTCTGATGACATTACAACATACCTAGTAGAACACACCCCCTAAATTCTAGCTGTCAGAGGGAGGGAATCCAAGTATCTTACAAAACCGCAACGACTCCCCATTTAGTCAAACGCGGAACTAAATAAAAACCTAACAGAGTCATAATCTCATACAAAATTCTGGGTACTGGGCTGTGAAATTTATTGGGAATTACACTCAAATTTTCATATAATAGACAAATACCATTAGACCTTAATAGGGTTAAAGCTCAAACCCTACCGGCGAGAATATAACAAAATCTCCTGCCTCGCTCAAGAAACCATAGGTTGTCATAAATAATCCATCGATATCGCTATAGACGAAAGAAAACTTAGAAAAATGAGAGGAAATTAAGGAAAAATTGCTAGAAATAGTCTTTGATTGATTAGGGTTTTGAAATTGTACTGAATCGAGAATAAAGGAGAGCACCTGATGAAGAAACATCAATCCCAGCGCGAAGAAGAGAGAATGGAGAGTGGAAAATGTAAATTATGGAGCTAAAAAAGTATCAGCGTATAAAAGGGGCGTTGAAAGTGAGTTGGGCTGGATTTAGTTAATGGGCTGGACTTAGTTAATAGGTCAACTATCAAAACCCCAGTTTTCCTTTTTATTTATTTATTTTTATTTTTATTTTTATTTTTTTATTTTTTTTATTATTTTTTTTCCTCTCCTTTTTAGATGGGGTAGAGATCATCTACATCCTTAGTTGTAGTGAAACCTCTACAACTCACAAGTCAAATCTCCTTACTCAATGTACCTCATAAATAATATTATTTATCTAGATTATTTAAAAAAAAATTTATAGAAACCACTGAGATAAGTTAACCAATAGTATTAGCTTAGATAAATAATATTAAGATCGTAAAGAGTCTAGGAATAATTTGTATTAGAATTTAAAACATATGATTTGCTTGTAGAATTAGTCCTTAACGTGAATTCCAAGCCTAAGACAAAAGACTTGTGACTGTTGAGATCTTGATCATCAACAAGTCCATCAAAAGCAGAATGAGCAAGAAGAAAAGTACTGTTCACAGTGAACAATGATGACGATACTGTTTGCAGAGAACAGTTACCGCATCACTATATACCAAGAACAATAGTCGAGCACTTAATGTTCACAGTAAACAGTAACAAAAAGAAGGAAAGCAGGAAGACAAAGTTTGTGGTAACAGATTGGGGGCTAGGGTTTTGTGAGGATCTAGATTTTGTAGAGGCTAGGGTCTGTGTGGCTCTAATACCATATAGAGAAATAGAAAAGGACCAAGATATTATTTCTAACCCTAATCCGTCTTAAGTAGAGGTTAGGATGATATTACAAAATAGCTATGAGATAAAATCATATCCAATCATATCCCCCAGTATCTCACCAATAGCTCATAATATATTCCTTAACATAGATGATTAGATAATTAGTATGGGAATCACAAGTGTAGATCAATCCACTCTTATAGGGTTGGTTCTATTAAGATATCATTCGCAACCAGACGCAAAGAAGTGGGGTTCATAGCCACTCATAAATTCTCTTTGGATTTTACAAGAAAAAACGCATATTTTATGTAACAACAATGATATAACTTAACTAATTACTCTTTCACTCTATTCCATATACTCACCATCATATCTATATAAATCATATCTGTTGGGCGCAGAGTCATGCTCTCACGTCGCGGAAGCGATATCACCTGAGAGATAGCTCTGGCTTTCGTTTTCACAAAATCACAAGTCAACCTCTATATTCTTGTTTCTCAAAGGAAACTAAATAGATAGTGAAATTCTTATTTCTCAAAGGAAACAAGAATCGAAAGTGATATATTTCATCAAAGTGAAATATACACTCTTTCTCTCATCAGTTCTAAGACTGAATGTCGAGGGAACCTACAACTATGGCAACACATAGCAGTAAAAGACGAGAACAACAGGTTTACGTGGTTCGGCAAACTTGCCTACGTCCACGGGAGGAGGTTTTTACTATGAGGCAGAATACCAAACTATTACAAGTCTCTCTTTCCCTCTCTTTTTTTTTCTCTCTACTCACTCAAGAGAATTTTCCCCGCCCATCTCTCTTAAACTCCTCTCCTATTTATAGGAAACGAAGAGGGGTGGGATGAACTAAGGAGAGCATGGGCTGTTCATGGGGAAGTGAGTAATCGTGCCTCCTCCCATGCTTGTACCCTCACAGCATGGGCAAGAGCAGTTGTGTCCCCTCCCATGCTTGTACATTCACAACATGGTCAAGAACATGGGAGAAACTCTTGTACCCACGTTCACAATTCTCCACCTAGTACATCATTTGATAAACCTTAAATTTTGGACGATCACCAGAAGAACCCCATGAGCATCACCAGAGAGTTCTACAATTATTCTCCAACATAGTCTCCACCTCACCCCCATCATCGCCCCGAAGGGCCATGCCCTCTTGGGCAGATCAACACGGGCTGATATGAAGTAAGTCCAAGCAATGCTTAAACTTACTATGTGTGACCACCTTTGTTAACATGTCCACGGGATTCTCATTTGTATATACCTTCATGAGAGATATATCCTTCCTCTATGACATCCCGCACAAAATGATATCTGACGTCGATATGCTTGGTACGAGCATGGTGAACTTAAATCTTCGCCAAGTGAATTGCACTTTGACTGTCGCACCACAAATTCATTCTCTCCTGCTCAATCCCCAAATCATCTAGAAGACCCCACAGCCATAATGCTTCCTTCACTCCCTCCGCCATGGCCATGTACTCGGCCTCTATAATAGAAAGTGCCACTGTAGTCTGCAACATCGATCACCAACTAACTGGAGCCCCATATATCCTGAATACATAAACAGTAGTAGATCATCGTCTATCTAGGTCGCCCGTATAATCAGAGTCAACAAATCCATCAATCTGACACGTATCTCCACCAAAACACAGACCTGCATCCGTGGTGCCTTTTAAGTACCTCAGGACCTATTTCACTGCTTCCTAGTACGCCTTTTCCGGATTCGCCATGAACCTGGTGACCACACTAACCGCCTGTGAAATATCTGGGCGTGTACACACCATGGCGTACATCAAACTACCAACTGCACTCGCATAAGGAACATGCTCCATGTGTGCCTTATCTTCCGCTGTAGTGGGAGATTGTTTACCTGAGAGCCTGAAGTGTGGAGCCAATGGATTCACCACCGACTTAGCACTTTGCATTCCGAACCTCGCGATCACCCGCTCTATGTAGCCCTTCTGACTCAAGAATAATCGCCGATTCGCCCGCTCTCTTCTAATCTCCATACTCAGTATTTTCTTAGCAGCGCTCATGTCCTTCATCTCAAACTCTTTACCAAGTTGATATTTTAGCCTATCTATCTCCACATTGCTCTTAGAAGCAATAAGCATGTCATTCACATACAAAAAGAGATAGATATAATCACCTCCACGAAGCTTCCGAATATAGACACAACAATCATACTCGCTTCTGGAGAACCCATGCTTTAGCATGAATGAGTCAAATCGCTTGTAACACTGCCAAGGAGATTGCTTCAGTCCATATAGTGATTTCCTCAAGCGACATACATGATTCTCCTTGTCCTCAACCTTGTAGCCCTCAGGTTGATGCATATAGATCTCTTCATCCAATTCTCCGTAAAAGAAGGCTATTTTAACATCGAGTTGTTCCAGCTCAAGATCACCATGAGCAACAATACTTAATAGCACCCGAATAGAAGTGTGTTTCACCACCAGAGAAAATATCTCATTGTAATCCACACTCTCTTTTTGTGCAAACCCTTTAGCCACTAGCCTCGCCTTGTACCTCGTACCACCAAGCTCTGAAGGATCTTTCTTTCTTTTATACAGCCACTTACAACCTATAGCTTTTTTTCCTTATGGGCAATGGGACCACCTCCCATGTTTGGTTCTTCCGGAGAGATTCAATCTCCTCTTCCATCGTAGCCAACCAATTCTCGCTATCTCTATCCGAATAGCTTCCTTGAAGGAGACCGGTTCATCTTCCTCCACCGAGAGTGCGTACTCAACCAAATTAACATGCCCATAGTGCTTCAGGGGTTGATCAGGCCTAGTGGAAGCCAAACTATCCTCGACCTGTTGTTGTTATAGTACTTGTGTATTTTCTTGCTGAACCTCCTCCTACTCAAGCTCATCATCTACCTGATTTTCCATTTGAACACGACTAGAACCTGGTTGGTCTTTAGGTTCTATCTCAATAACCTGGGACTTAGAATTCCCAACAGTCTCACCATCATCATCCTTGGGTACCCTAGCAATCATGGACTTCTTATCAAAGGTGACGTCCCTGCTGATCACGAACTTTGAATCTTCTGTACATCAAAGGCGATAACCTTTTACACCCTTTGGATATCCTAAGAAAATTACCTTCTTGGCCCTCGAGTCAAGCTTTTGTTAGACCCTAGAGGGGGGTTGTAGGCATCGAAAATTGCCTATAGGTCTTCACGAACAGCTCAAAGTTAAGAGAAGACGATGAACGTCACCATCTGGTTCACAGAAGCTTGATTGACGTCGACGAACGCTTGAAGTGAATCGGCAAACTATGTGAAACAACAGAGTTTCAGAATAATAAAGATATGAACTGATCGGGAGCCCCGTGTCACTTACAAAAGACGAAATGCCCTTCGTGTCTCATTTATTCCACAGATGATCTAATTATTGGAGCTTATAGAACTCTTCGTCATCTTTCTAACGTACTTCAAATCACTCAAATCTAAGTTCGGACGAAGAATTTATAGCGGAAGCGGACGAATGCACCACAACGGAGTGTCTCGGCCAAAGCCGAGACACCCTAGGGTGTCTCGGGTTTTGGGAGACACCCTAGGGTGTCTCGGGTTTTGGGAGACACCCTAGGATGTCTCCAACACGGATTTGGACCCTTTAGGTGGTTTTAACCGCTCCGCAACCCCTCAAGCCTATAAATACAAGCCTCAGGCCCTCATTTTTTCAGATCTGGAATTTTGGAGATTAGGCGAAGCCCTGCCGGATTAAAGACTGAAGGTGCATGAATTTCAGAGAGGAGGAGGAGAGATCGGATCTAGTTCTTCAACGCAAGAGAGAGAGATTCGTCAGATCTACATCACCCGTACCCGATCCTTAGTATTATCACGTTGTGTTAATACTAAGAAGAGCAAATATCTCGCTTTATCCGAGATAGGCGCTTCAAGTTTCTAGATCTCCTCGCGGATCGACGAAGCTCTGCCCAATTTTTCAGCAATCAGATCTGATCGACGGTGGTCCACGGATAAACCCCGGCACAGGCAAAGATCCCACGCAAGCAGAAGACCGATGAACGATCTCTGCGTTTGTTTGATAAAGTTGTAAACTTTTTTTATTTTCATTGTGTAAGGAGATCTAATAAAAAGATCAACTTTTATTTCATTCGAGTTTATTGTAACGACTAAAGTTGTAATAGATTCGATAACAATGGAAATAGCAACTTTCACCGCAAACAAACTGGCAACCACAGTGGGAGCCAACAGCTTCGCTGCCGAAGCTTAGATGAAGAGGTCAAATATGAGT